CCACTTTGTAGCTGCCCGTTCTGCTGCTCCGGTCTGCAGGTCAAGGCCTAGCAAGAGAGAGAGTGGGGACGGAGACACGAAGAATGGAGACAAGACAGGGAGTCTGATCAAGTCTCTCAAGTCTCTTTATTAGAAGGAAATCCTGGGTATTTATACCCTTTACCACGTGCCTTACCCTCGTGGACAAGCACAGCTGAAGGCACTACGTCATGTGCCTTGCAGCGTGGATATCACGTGCACCTAGCTAGCAGTGAGGAGACCACGTGTACCTAGCAGCACGTGCACCTAGCTAGCAGTGAGGAGACCACGTGCACTCAGCAGCGTGGATATCATGTGCACCTTGCAGCTGGGGGCACTAAACAGCAAAACAAGATATGTGAGAAAAACAAGATGTTTATCAGAGTGTGCTCAGTTGTTTCAGGCTGTTGAAAACAAGTCTCTTGTCAGGGTATATGGCCTGAGATGGCTGCAAAGATGATAGCCGCTTTCGGCTAGGAGTCAGCTCCCAACAAAATACAATCTATTCAGTAGTTAATGCTGTGTTCTCAAGCCAGGGAATCTTGGGGGTCTGTCAGAAACTAACTATGAAAGGCCCTACAGTGTTGCAGCATGAGTCTGAACATGCTGATTATCTAAGGGCCTGGACTTGAGTGATGTGTAAGAACAAACACCGAGTCATAAGGCAACTTCTTCACTGTCCCCATCAGGAGTATGACACAACAGCTTTTGGATGGATTAACAATAATGCCGCCTTCTCTGCCTCTTCCTGCACTCTCTTTCCACTGATATCTAACAGCTGTATCTCTGTCTTTCTTTGATTGTTGAGGCTTGGAAGACATGTCTTGAGTTCTCACATGACAGCTCCAGGATCTGAGGAAGATCTCAGCACACTTTTAATTCATGATAAGAGGAGGATGACAGTTCCTCTCAACCTAAAACAACAAGTGAATCATTCGATTGCAGGGCATCTGGGATTTGAATTCTTACCACACCTCCTTTAATGGTATGTGCAAATATGAAGGGAATTCAAGAAACATTTAACTTTCCTTTACGGGCCTTAGATTGCATTAAGCATTAAATGATTTTGTTTTGGATTTTCTTTCCTAGGAAAGTGTGCATTGATGGTGTAACAGTAAGCATAGCTGCCTCCGTAAAACACTTGATAATGCTAATTCACACATATTGAATAAATACCTGTACATGTTGAGGTTTGTGTGTCCCCTTTCTCTGTTGATTAATAAATAGGCCTTTTGGTATTTTTTCAGACTTATAAAAGGTCATGTTTTTAGTAGAGGATACAAGCTAATTGGGAATATTCGGCCTCACTGAACCTTTCAATAACAATCCACATCTAGGCTCTAGAAGTTTTAAATTGAATTTGATATGTTAAAAGGACTTGTCAGGTATAGTTAAGTGATTAGTTTGACGTGACAAGAGCATTCTGAAATATATGGGTGAAATCAATATAATCGCATGTGTTTTTGTAGTAGGAAGAGAGGGAGTTGAGGTTGATGGTGCCCATTGTTCAGGTTAAGGTGCTAATTTCTTGGATGTATAAATATCAGCATTAGACTGTGATACCTGGAGTCTAGAGGATGCCCACAGAGCTCTTTATCCTTGAGGTTAACTCAGAAGACAGCGAATATTCATAACTGTAAGGAAATTATATTTTTAATCAGTTCTGAAGCCATTCCAATTAAGCAAGAGAAAACCAATTGAAATACTGTCTTTGATTTCTCTAAGCCTGTGGCTTTCCTTAATACTCCAAGATTTTTTCCTTGCTAACCTCTCTGTCTCACCTAATATCCTTGTGACTAACAGGTAACTTAACAGACCATAAACTACCACCAATCACAAGACTAAGTAAGAATACTGCCAGCATCAGAAGCCTACCATGATTTCCCCACTTTAGTTTAATACTTCTATTAATGTTTCCACCAATGCACTGAAAAGTGTCTCAGTTCATAACTTTCTTTGTTCTCTATGAAAAGCTCATGAAACTGTTACTAGGTAGAGACATGGAATGAGAGATAACCTAAATTTGTGCTGAAGGCCAAGGTCATTCATACTTGAATAGAGAATAAACTGTCTCTTAAATTCTTGAAGATGTTCTCCGTGTTTTTCTGTTGGCTACTGGGACATCCCTTAAGGGTGAAGTTAACAGAAGTGAAATTAAGAAGACTAGGGAGGAGGGGAAGAGGTAAATAATAGTGTGTGAATAACAAAATATTTTCTGCCTCATGCGTCAATTCTTCCTAGCTTCATGGTGCATCATTTAGAGCACACTTGCATCCTATTTATTCTGATGATATTTATGTGCTACCAAATGTGCAGGGAATAACAAGTAGTCCCTGAATCATGCTACAAGATCTAATAATGGCTAATTGTCTGAAATCTTCCCTTGGAACAATTGACATGAGTTTTTAATTTTGAAATATTTATATCTGTTTTTTTAAAAACAAGACACACATAATCCACAATAAGGTAAAAGTGTGATCTCTTTTTATTGTTCTCACAAGTCTGCATCCTAAATATTCCAATTACTACTTCCACGTTCAGCTGGTATTTCCAAACTTACATAATCTACTGGAAATCACTGAACTAAAACACAACTTACTGAGAAAAGAGGCCATCTTTTAACATTGTAGGCAAGTAGGGTGCCAGTGGAACTAGTGATAGTTGCACTTGCACAGAGTATTTTCAGTTTAGTATAGATTTGTATTTTTATATGCTACATTTAGAATTTGGAAATAAAAATGAGTATTACTATTACATAAAATGACAAAATATTGGTGAGCACTTAGAAAAATATGGTTATTTCTAAAACAACATTTAAAAGCTGTATTTTTGATACCTCAGTTTATATACCAAGATGTATATAAAGATAAGGAAGCAAGGAATTACAAAAAATGCACATGCAAACACACACATAAATGCATATATAGGCACACACATAAGGCACACACATATATGGATGAGCTATGAGGTCTTTCCTGCTCTCCCTTCCCCCTGCTCTATTATCTAGTCCACACCTCTACCTGCAATCACAGAAGCCCGCAACAATCAGGGAATGCCAGCTCTGCCTGTATCCTTGGAGCCCAGCCATAACAGGAACTACCAGTGACCAGAAGCCATCAGGAACTTCCAACTCTGCCTGCATGCCTGGAAGCCTGCTGACTTCAAGGACCACCACTGATAACTCTTCCCCCAGAGGTCTCCCATCAGGAACTAACAAGCCTGCCAACAATAGAGACAACCAGATGGCTAAGGGGAGCATAAGAATACAATCAACAAAAGCTAGAGCAATATGGTACAAGCAGAGCCCAGCCATCTTACTACAGCAAACCCTGGAAATCCTAACTCACTTAAGTCCCATGAAAATTATCTTTAATGAGGAAAGAAATAAAACATTTAATGAAATAATGGAAAACACAATCAGGTAATAAAAGAAATAAAACTGTTCAAGACATGAAAATGATAATAGAAGCAATAAAGAAACACAAAAAAATATATTGAAAACATTTTCAAAGTCAAAAGTTTGGAATGTTTTGTCCTCTAGGTGGAATCTTCCAGATTGGGAGATGGTGGACCAAAGATTCTATCTTTTCATCAATCAAGCTGGTACTGAGTTCTGATCAGTCAAAAGTCTGCTCTCTCACAGCACTGTGTTCACTTCAGACAATTTCCTCTGAAACAGACACATCACCAGTTCATTGCATTGGGGGTATTAATTGTCACACACACACACACACGTGCACATGCACACAAATCAACATAGAATGATATGTCTTAGTGAACCAAGAATGTTAACATTCCTGCAGACAGTACATCACTGGGAAGGAGGAGTAGAGTCTAAGCAGTTCATTAGACTAAGGCTATTGTTTTCTCCTCCTATCTTCAGATGATAGTCCATCTTTCCCACAGTAAATGATGCTGGAGTAAAGTAAATTTTATTTTGGTGTCTCTTTCTCATGTTCTTCATCTACCTCTCCCCTTCTGATTCTCTACCTTCTTCTCCACATTGTTTCTCTCCTTGGAAGCATAGTGATCTTGTTGAATATATTTCATAAGGCAATGGCCACTTTAACATTATACACTGTATCCATATAGTTCATCCTTTTGACAATTAAAATAAAGACTTGTATAATTATATCTATAGTGCCTTAAAAATCACTACAGTGGAAGTCATAAATCTTTAAAGAAGAAAGCATAGTCACAAAAATAGCTTACTGTCATATATAGTCTATAAAACTCAGGCATATAACACCCAGTGGGAAAAAATGTCATTTTATGCCTCAGATTACACACATGGTTAAAATGTCTACTCTTGACATTTGTATCTAAAAGAATACCACAGATACAACAAATGTAGTAATAAATGAGCAATAGAAACATAAAATAACATGTTTGCAAGTCTTATTACCATACAAATTCAATAACAAAGAAATATCAACATAGATATTACAAGTAATTACAATAAAATATGTACGTCCTCTGAGGATTAGAAAATATCCCTTCTAAACTAAAGGACATTCAAGTCATTCAAATGAACAGAGTATATATCTGTGTTCATAATGTGAAATACTTTTTTTAAAAAATTGTATGTATATTTTGTTCGCAAGTTTTTAAAGATATATAGTGCTGGATCCAATGGAACTAAAGTGAAGGATACTTGTGTGTCATTTGTAGGTGAGAATCAAACCCATATCCTCATCAAGATAAAAAAAAAAAAAAAACCCTGATGTTAACCACTGGGCATTCTATCCAGTTTCATAAATGACCTAAATTTATATAATCTCCAATTTGCAAACAAACTCAATGTAATGCAGCTAATACTCCTTAAATAGTTTCTAAAGTTGGTAAACTCAGTTAGAATGTATAAAGAAAGTGAATGAATAGCATAAGTAAGAAAATCTAAAGCCTAGAAATATGGAACTATACCTTCTGACTTAATTCTTCTCTGTTGTATAAAATTAGAGTATTCAAGACTATTATGTACCCCTGCCTCCTGGATGTATTACAGGTGTGGCTTCTGTTTCATATGTGTGTCAGTGGGTGTCAGAGAAGACAAAGACTATATCTCTGGTTAGTATTTTGACCTATGAACATCTGAATGATGTAGCCTAACATTCCCGGGGGGGGGAGGGGGGGAATGGTCTTGAGAAGACAACCTTACTGGAGCCAGGCAGGCCCATTTCTCTGGACAGGGAGCCAGAAACTAGAAGAAAGTAGCCCTGGATCAAAGTCCCTGGGCAAGAGTGACAACCCTTGCACCAGGCTACTTGGGCAGCCATAGAAAAGAGCAAGCCCATGAAGACCACCAGACTGGCACCATAGAGACAAGAAGCAAGACTGAGATGACCACTAGTATTCCTAGGCAGGGCCGGGGAGCAGACTATGCCTGAGATGATCCCTGCCTAGAATCATAATGCACAAGCAGGGCAAAGCTCTCCTGGCACCTGAGACAACCCCAGACACTCAGAAACCACAGGAACCACTAAGGAGAGCAAGCAAATTGTGAAGAAATGGAAGAGAAGAAGAAATGAAGGATGTGGGCACAACAGAGACGAAGAACTGGAGACTTGAGGGTTATGAGGAACAGCCTGATGTGAGTAGCTGGTGATGCCACCTGCGACCATGTTGGGGTCCTGGTACATGCTGCCTCCATGGGGTTGAGGGATGTCTGGGTCTCTGGCCCTGCAGCAACATGAGTCTGTTCCCACCAAAGGCCAGGCAGATATCCCTGATCTCAGCTGCTGCTCTGGGAACCTATGGATGTCTGAGGGCGATGCAGAACTGGCCCCACTTCTCACCTGGGCATTATGAAAAAGCACACCCTGGGGACTTGAGGGTAGACGGGCTGAACCCAGCCATAGCCACCTGCAGTACTCTACGGACACACATTCCCGGAGTTGTGAGTGAGCTGGCCCAGAGGATACAAGCAAGCATGGGAGAGTTTGTCTTAGAACCTTTCTCCTATACAGTGCATGGATGAGAGACAGATATACTCCTAACTCCACATCTTCTGTTCCTGAGCTCATGAAAGCAGTAGAGCTGGCCCTGCCCATCTTCAGCTGTAGCACTTAGACTACCAAGCCCTGCATCTTGCCTGGGAAGCACAGTAGAACCAAAACTAAGAATCCTCTCTACTCTGTTTCCCTATGCAATTTTTTGTTACTCCTTAAATACTGAGATTTAGAAACTAATGTTTTATATTTAAATAACGTGTGCCTAAGCAAAGAACCTATAGAAAGCCACAGAAGCATGCATTCAAATTCCACCCCTTTTACCCACTGACCATGTTTGACAAACTATTTGTGGGCTCTAATAAAAACACAAACTATAGTACAGATCTTACTCAGTTTTTAATAAGATGCTGCACCATGTAGATTAAATTGTAAAAACATTTATGTATTTATTAATTGATTTTTTTAATATGTATTGTGTTTGTACCTGGGTGAGTTTATGTGAAGTAGATGATTTCCAGAGAAATCAAGAAAGAAATCAAGAAGGGGAGAGTTATGAGCCACTTGATGTGGTTTCTAGGAAGAAACACACATCCTCTGTATGAGAGGAATCATCCTTTAAGCCCCCATTGTAAGGTGAGTCACACCAAGAGCTATATACTATGCACACATACAATTAAATAGACAGTAGCAGCTAGTACTCTACATAGAAATATTCCTGAAAAGAATCAGGACTTCCCTGAGCCTTCTGCTAGGCTGATTACCTTATGAAATCTTCAGTGGTTATGGAGAAGTAGAAATCACAGGTCCAGGAACTAACTACAATTTTTTAGGGGGCAAATTTTATAACCCTTAACAAGCACTTGCCCTTTCCATATCTCTGTCTGACTAATGTCTTGTGACTAACAAGTGAAAGGTTTTGTTGACTTACTCTAAGCTACCACCAATCACCATACTAAGTAAGAAGGTGGTCAGCACCTGAGGCCCAGCAGTGATTTTACCACTTTCACTTAATGTTCCTATTGACGCTTATATCAACGCATTGAAAAGTGACTCAGACCATGATTTCTGTTTATTTCATTGCCCAGTTATACATTGGACTGTCAGGTTTCTTGTTGATTGGTTTGGTTATACTTTTAGTTCTGTGTATATTTAGGTAATAATTCCATGTTGAATGTTTAGGTACAGTATGTTCTGAGGACTCAGCTACTCATTATTTTAAATCTCTCAATATCTTCTTCTTACAAAGTCTCAAGAGAATCTCCTATTGCTACATAACATAGAATCACATATTGTACATCAAGCCTGGGTTAGTAACCTGTCCTCAATAATCCACCTTGCAAGTAAAATCGAGAAGAAGGAAATTTTATTCAATGTGGCCATGCTGAAAAATTAGGCATGGGGAGGGGGGAGGATACATCCAGAGAACTATCAGACTTGTGCAGTCCTGAAATGAGACTGAAGATTAAACACATGGCCAAAGATATGCACACTGAAGCAGCTCTGTTCAGTGTGTGCTCCAGCCTACCATTGGAGTAAATGGGTACACTTGTATCTATCATCTTGCAAGACCCTGAGTGACATCTCCCGCAGAGAAGTTGTTGTTTCTCCTTCTACTAACATGATCTTTTATGGAAAGTCTCATTTCCTAGGGATTCATTGTTTCCATAGATGAAAGTTAGAGAAAACATTTATCTCTTAAGAATGGCTTTGAAGACCTCCGCAGAGGGAAGACCCTCACTCAAGTCTCAGAAAGTCGAGACCACCCAGTAATCTGCTCGAGACACCATGTACCGGAGCAATTTCGAGGTTGTTTATTAGGGCGTGACAACTAGCTGCCGGTCAATTAGTATGCCCACGCAGGAGCTGAATTGACCCCGACAGCCAGTTTGAGATGGGGTTTTAAAGGAAAAAAACACAAACCAAGGAAATGAGGAGGGGATGAGGGGGTTGCTAGGGTGGTATAACATAAAAATAGTGGAACATTCTAAAGGAACCTAACCTACATGAGTCAGGATCAGGTGAAAACTCTCTGTACGCTTATCTTTCTCAAGAATGTAGTCCTGCCCTGTCACTTTGGCCTTGCCCTGTCACTTCGGCCTTGCCCTGTCACTTCGGTTCCCAGCTTGGTTCCACCTAGTTTACTTACATTCTTTCCTAACTCTGTGCAGATAGGCCAATTCCAGTAATGGTGACTGGTCTTTCCACATTTTTAACTTGCTTCATGCCTCGGTTTCTCTATGTCTTTATAAAGAAAGCTTAAAGAATACTTTATATGTCTAAAAAGAATTCTATATACCCAGTATCTATAATTTTCTCTCTACAGCTTCACTTTGCCATGCTGACTACATCATGTTACACCCAGACAAAGAACATACCAGGTAGCTTTGTCACCTCAAACAGTGGGGTTTTTGTTCAGGGCTGTATCACTGTGGGAGGATATTCTAGAGCATGCATACAGTAATATACGCCCACATCCTCAGCCTCCACTCTACTGATTCCCAGTGTGAAATCTGTTCCTGAGCCACTGCCACTAAACCTGTCTGGGACTCCTGAGGCACGTTTGGACATCAGATATATCAGGAGCTGAGGAGACTGGCCTGGCCTCTGCAGGAACCAATACAAGTATGTATTGCCATTGCTATGCAGGAGACTCTTACTAGACCTGCAGGAGATGGAAACTGACTCTCCAAGAGTGACAGGAATGGAGGCTGCAGACTGGGTCATCACAATATCCCCAGTGGCTCCTGAAATAAAAGAAAGATTATGTACAAACCTGATGACTCTATGTTACTTTATCAAAGTGTTAGTTACTGAGGTCATGACATTCATTCATATTCTAAAAATATTAAACATAAAATACTTAAGTAGAGAAAGCAAAAGTTTCCATCCCTTCACCCTCTAAACTTCACAAGCCCATTCTTGAAGAAAAGACTGAAAATCTCACACATGGACAGAGCATACATTTGCATCATCAGGTCCCCAGAAATCCCCCATCCTTCCACATTCTCCTTGATCTTTGTTTTTTTTTTCCTCACCAGGGATCCAGAGCATAAGCAGCCCCAGGAGCTGAGCCAGGCACCTCATTCTGAGAATTTGATACAAAAAGTCTTGAGTAGTCAAGACAAAAAGAGGCTAGCTTTTGTCTTGGACCTGTAGGAGAGATCCTCCCTAGGGAGCAATATGCAAATCCTCTGCTTGGTACAGCTGTGTGAAAAGTAGCCACCTGGAGGAAAACCTACTCTTAGCAATCAAGTCTTACAAATAGTTACAGTCTCTGCTGTTTACAGCAAAGAGCAATTGGACTCCACTGTGAAAGGCAGAGTCAGCATAAATGGAGACAGACAGACACACAGACAGACACACAGACAGACACACAGACAGACAGACAGACAGACACACACACACACACACACACACACACAAACACACACACACACACGATCTGAAAGAACTAGGCATGCTAACAGCACCACAGAACCAAGGCTATCATTTTCTACACTTTGTATTTCCTAATACTTTTCAGCATAGCACCTTCCTTTCTAATTCTACCTAATTTTTTGTTTTATTTTAGTCAGGGGTGGGTCCCCAAGGAAAGAAACTGAAGAGAAAAGTAGTCTTCATATCTACATGAGAAATGACTCTATGATGACCATTTACAAGAATGTTGATACACTGAAGACTGGAAAAGAGAAATGAGGTTATAAAAACACATATGTAATTCCCAGTGGTCAATAGTTACTTAGTTAAATGTTCTTAGTCAAAATTCTACCACTTAGATACAGTACACAAACAGGTAGACACAGCAAGCCATGAGCTAATTCAGAGTGGAAAGATTTAAATATTGTTTGTTCCATATTAGAACTCAAGATATTGGGACAAAGTCTCTGCAACTCAAGCCTTCAGCTGAAGAATATGTCTTCAAACCTATGGAGCAGTTCCTTTTAGAAATATGTAACTTGATATTAGAATGGTTACTCCAACTTGTTTCTTGGGTCCATTTGTTTGGAATATCTTTTTCTACCCTTTACTCTGAAGTAATGTTCATCTCTTCTGCTGAGATGTGTTGAGGAATTGACATCATTGATGTTGACAGATATTAATGGCCCATAATTGTTAGTTCTTCTTATTTTGATGTTGGTGGATGTACTGTGTGTGTGTGTGT